AATCAAGCTATCTACTTAGATGTCATCCCCATCCAGGATCGTGGATCGTGTAAAATACATTGGGTCTATGAATATTTCTCATATAAATTTTGAACGATATATCAGGAACATATTGCTGTGTTAGTGTACAAACTAATTAGCAATAAGCCCTAAAGACGTTTCCAAACACGTTTCAACCTCGCAAATACCAACATTCCTCTTTTAAATGTTTATCCCCCGCCCCCCTTTTCCATATTCCTTCACAATCCTCTCCGTGCAGACGACTTGTGTTACGCACTTTTGGTTCGCAGACCATCGCCGTGTCAGTCGGCTGGCGAGGGGCCGATCAAGGCCGTCCCGAGGTCAAACTTGGAGCCGGACAGGGAAGAAGAGGGGCAGGGGGCGGGCCGGCGCGGGTTTCGGCCAAGTTCGCCTCACTATTACCACACTGGCATACTTTCCAGAACTTGGAGAAGCGCCGTGCGTCTGGATTATCGTTCGAGCCGCCGCCTCTGATATACACTATACCACGCCCCGCCCGCCCGCCGCACACTTGTTGGACCGTTATCAGTCAAACTGCAAGTTGGCTGATACGATCAGTGGCGTGACAACTTGAGTCGCGCCAACTCGGAGTTATATGGGCCGGGAGGGCGCAACGGGGCGTCTCAGTTGGACTTCTGGCGGGCATCAAGTGGCTCACGCAATTGATGCGGCTCAATGACGATATGCTCTGAAGCTAAGCCCGGCGAGGTGGGGCGGGCTAGGTGAGGCGTGGAAGATGCGACGAGTGGGGCACTGAGGACAAACAACGTGACAGCAGTCCGAGCAATGCATGCCCAGGGAAAGGGAGGCGGGGGAAAGCAGCAGTGCCTGTGGTTCCCCCGACAAAGGGTGCGGAAACGCAGGCCAATATAACTCTCAGCGCAAAAGACGAGAACAAAAGAGCGAGATGCGTAGCTATGGTGCGTGGGCGGGGCGCTCGAGCCCAGCCCCAGCCGAGCCAGGCTGCCTGAGCTCCCTGCCGTGGGCCGCTGGCGCATGGCACCGCATGGCAGCGCCCCCAGGTGGCGTTACGGGTAGGGGGCCGGCCGGGCCGGGCCGAGCCCAACTCGCTCAAACTATTTAAGCTGCTCCCATTTCAACGAGGTCCTTCCGCAAAGTCAGCCGTCAGCGGGCTAATAGTTGACTTGATGGCGCCATGAATTCCTAACCTTGGCTTTAATCAACGGTCTCCCCGGGCTCTCCGCCGCAGAGACACGCTCACCTTGGAGCCTGCGGACCGGAACCATAAATTAATCCTCACCCGTTTCCAGGCTGTCGTCGCCCGAGAGTCGCTAGGGCCTTATATACAGTCGGCCAAGGGTATGGCTGCTCGTCTCGCCGCAACCATGCCGCCCTTTTGCCGCCGGTAGCGTGGGCGGGCTGACCAGCTTCGCTATAAATATCCTACCCGTGTATGAGTACCCGCGCCATCATTTTAAATATAGAAACTCTTTCTTTCTACTTTCAATGTATTAATGTGTATAGAGACATATAATATAGGGTGGTCCACAGACCCCTTCCTTTATTTTGCGTATACTGTACCGGATGCAGACGTGCTGGCTGGTTGCATACTCGCACGGGGCCATAAGGTGAGCGACGGTAGGCAAGCCCGCCTGCACGCCTGCATTCGGTACAGTATAAGCAAAATAAAGGAAGGGGTCTATGGATCACCTTGTATTATTAGAAACAGTACCGTTGGGGGTGGAAGCACAGGAAACATTTTTCCGCGAGTTTCCCGGTTATTTCCGTAAAAAATTCCTGGTTTTCTCTGGCGCATGCGCAGAGCACGGGTTGGTGAAATTTCGAATTTTAATAATGTCGTAATTTTGATGGTTTGTGAGCCTAGCAGGTAAAAATGAAGTTGGGCCGTCCTCAGATTTGTTTTATACCTAGTTTGCCGTCATAATTCCCTCAAATACGCGTTTTTTTCACCAAAAGTTCCTACATACCCTAAAAATTTGAGGCAGGAAAAGTGCACTGGGAAGTGCTTTCCCGAATTAACCGGGGACTTCACAGAAAAATGTTTGCTGTGAGTGCTCATTGAACTGTCTACAGTCTGTAGGACAAACGTGGAAAACGTCATGCACGTGCTATCCTAGAAGGCTTGTTTATAGTACAGAACAGAAGGTCGCTCGCTTTTCCTCGTTCCCGATTGAGCCTAAATAAATCAAGCTACGTTCTTGGAACACATCTCTCTGTGACTGAACTCTAGGTTAGGCGCACTTGGGAATCATCTTAAGTACGTATTCAGACATACTTTTTGAGTATCAAACCTTTTTAAAATATTGTTTTTTACAAATGAACGCTGCATTTATTTTCCAGCAAGCCTCTCTTGGCCCGTCCCGGGGTTGGCTTGGACAGATGGCAAGGACCTGAGAGCGGGCTGTCGTGCAGGACACAGGCCCGCGATACATGAGAGAAACAGACCCAACAATGGGGCATTAATCTCCTGACAGAGACTGATTCGGGAGAAGACAGTCGGCGGCTTTACAGGGCTGCGGCTGAGCTGGGCGGGCTTATGGCTGGAGCCGTGCCGGGGGTCGCGAGGACGGCCTCAATTAAAACGTCAGGACGGACACGATAAATCCAAGCCACTTGGACCGCCGTAAAAGTCAATCAACAATCAGATAAGACATAAAAGGGATCGGCCTTGGAAAGCCTCTCCGTCCACCCGACGACTTTGCTCTTTCAGAGCGCGCGGAGAGCGCAGCTTAGGGATGGCCCCTATCTGCACCCGAGCTCGAGTCGATTTGCATTCAGAGACAGATTGCGCTGCGGATATTTTCCGTGATATGGCTACCCAATTGTGTTATGTTAAACACTAAAACGACAACTGACAACGTCTGGAGAGCGCAGTGGATACGCCTCTACCGACCTGTTGCTCAGTCCATCAGAGGACCGTCCGGTCGTTTTTGCTCAAAATGAGTCCTACCTTCCCGAGAGATGGATATGGATAACTCCTGAATTGAGTTTACACATTTCAAAAATTGAATTTGAATTAGCTTGAATTGAATATAAATTGGACTGAATTGGTTGAATTGTTTTATTGCGAGTTTATTTTACTAAATTAGCGTGAATTGACTTGAATTGGCTTGAATTGACTGGAATTGAATGTAAATTGTCTTGAATTGGACTGAATTAGTTCAATTATTTTTGAATTCCTTTGAATTAAACTGAATTGGTCTGAATTAGTTTGAATTGGGCAGAATTGAGGTGCATTTGCGTGTTACATAACACGTGTTATCTATCTACCCCTCGCACATTCCCTTTGTCCGGTCGTATCCGGTTATTTGCTGTATACACCATAATGTATACACTATTTTCTGCATACATGATCATGTGTGCAGTATTCCGCGGTAATGCTGTCGCGGTTGTCACGATGGACCTGGTAGGCAACCAATTTGATTTCACACTGTGAAAAATTTGAGTCTAATACGGAACTATCTACGGCATTAGGGGTCGTCCACATATTACGCCACGCGTTTGAGGGGCAGGGGGGGTCTACGCTAGCGTGACGGTCCTATACCAAAAGCATTGGTAAGTTAGGTTAGGCGCGTGACGTGGGGGGAGGGGAGGGGGGTCAAAAACTGCCAAAAATAGCGTGACGTAATATGTGGACGACCCCTTAGTGTAGATGTCGCTCTCAGTCACTACAGAGCACGGAGTCTAGACGGCAAAAACGGCTGCTTGGTTTTTAAGCAGGTCCCGTGTTGAGCTCCCATGAGAGTGCTTGAAAATCAAGGAGCCTTTTTTTGCCGTAGTCGCTGTAGCACCGGAAAGCCAAGGTTTTACACGGTACAGTGTACAAATACGGCTTCATTGTAGACAGTTTTGCACGGTTTTGTCTGTATGCCGGTGGTCCTGTACATTGCTCTCCATATCAAATTTTAACCATTGAAACTACAGCAATACTGTTATTTGAATAACATACGTTGCTGGAAAATAATTGGCAGTCGATGCTGTCATTTTTCCTGTCATAATTTTTTTTTGCAGTACACTGCTAAACCTTTATTCTCTGTAACCCAACTTAGATAAGTAGGCCACACCACAGAGTGTGCCCGCGCTGGCCCACTCGTCCATGCGTTCCAATGATCGGTGGCCGACATCAACGTCACAGGCGTGACTCGTTTTCTTGCCACGCTCAGCAGTACAAAAACGTTTGCAGTGCCTTTGCGCCCCCGTCACCGTCCGCGTGCAACACTGTCGCAAAAGCGAGGTGCGGGAGGCAAAAGCGCAGCGGCGGCGAGCGCTGGTATGTACCGGAAAACTTTCGGCGGTGAGGAGGCCATTTAGAGCCCCGACAATGAAGGAAGGAGGCTGCATCCTCGCTGTAACTGGATCGTAATGCCGCAGCGCGCCAAGCAGCAGGAAAAACAGACAATAACAACTGCAACAAGAAGGAGGGAAAGGAGGGGGGCGGCCAGTGCGCAGTCGCACCGACACGGCCCCGGCCGAGGCCTTGCGATTGCACCCAGCTTGTACCGCTGAATGTTTAATGGTCTGTCTTGTTTCGCATTATTATCTGGGGTGGCTCCGCTCCGCCCGGCTCGGCTCCGTCAGGAGGGCCGTGGAGCTGCACGCCACCTCAGACTCACAACTCTGATATCTCCCTTTTCCTTCATTACTTCCTGCCTCGCGGATTTAATGAGACTTCGGGCGGGCGCGAGACCACGGGCCTGGCGGGCCGGGCGGCCGGAGGGAAGGCAACTTCAATGAATAAATGCATCGCCCGTTATGTCGCACCGCCCGTCCGCCTCTCAGCGACAATGTAGCAAGGCCCCACCCGCCCCGCGGGCCCTCCAGCCATCAAGGGCACGGCGACGTCAGAGAGAAAGTTGCCTTTCATCCGGGCAGCCTAATTTACCGGAATAATGAATGCCGAACAGCTTTGAGGAGCTACACGCATCGCTGGGAAATAAAAGCGAAAGTACCGCGGGACGCGCGCTAAAGGTGAGACAGAGTCTCGGAGCAGCACTCACCTTGAGGTTGCATTTCCGACGATGGCGCTTGCGGCCCCGGCGCGCGCCGCAAAAGCAGCACGAACATACGATGGTGACGAGGAGCGCCACCACGGCGGAGACGCCGCCCGTGGCGAGGCCAGCCCAAAGAAGCCACGACTCAGCCTTGGAAAGCGTGGTGGCCGTGACCACGACGGGCAGGGTGAGGGTGGCGCGCGCGAGCGCCTTGCCACGCAGGTTGCGCGCCTGGCAGCCATACTCGCCCGCTTCCGAGTCGGACACATTGTACACCGAGATGTTGCTCCACTTCTCGAGGAGCCCCTGTCCGTCTTCCTGGTCGATGGCGTACACAGTCTCGGTGCCGAAGGCCTGCGTGCCGTTGGCGCCCACCGGCCTCCCGTTGAAGTACCACGTGACCTCGGGCTCCGGGTCACCCGAGGCGCGGCAGTGGAACGTCACATTGCCGCCGGCCTCCTGCTGGATGGTGCGGTCGTGCAGCTCCACTGTGGCGGCGCACGCGAAGTCGGCCGGCGCCACGTCCTCCCACGGCCGGCCCGCGAGCGAGGACGGCTCCTCGCAGGCCAGCGCCATCGAGTACAGCTTGCTGGCGAGCAGCCACTGGCGGAACGAGCGCAGGCGGCAGTCGCAGCTCCAGGGGTTGCCGTCCAGCGCCAGCGTCTTCATCTTGGTCAGCGGCGCGAACACGCGCTCCGACAAATGGCTCAGCCGGTTGCCTTTGAGGTTGACCGACTCGAGGGCGGCGAGGTGCGTGAGCGCCTCCTCGTCGATGTGCTCGAGGTGGCAGTGGCTAAAGTCGAGCGTGCGCAGGTGCAGCAGCGGCGGGAACTGGTAGCTGCGCAGCTCGCTCAGCGGGTTGTTGCTCAGGCAGACGACGCGCAGCCGCTCGGTGCCCGCGAAGGTGTCTTGGTGCAGGACCGTGATGTCGTTGTCCGAGAGGTCCACCTCGATGAGGATTCGGAGGTCGCGGAATGCGTCGCGGTGCACCTCGCGCAGGCCGGCGCCCTTGAGGAAGATGCGCTGCAGGTTGAGCAGGCCCACCGAAGAGAAGGCGGCGGGGGGCAGGTTGGGGATCTTGTTGCCCGTCAGATCCAGCACCTGCGACACACAACACGAGTCCTTAGAGGGCGCAGTAGCAGTGCAGCAGGCCACCCGCTCGGAGATTATTCTCCGGCCCGTAATAATCCCCTCGCCGTTTCGCGATCATTTGCTCCCCATGGCCGGAGGACAGAAGCACAATTTAAACACCCGGCCGGGCGCGGGTTGGCAAAAAAGCGGTGCGCCCGTGACCCAATAGCCATTATTACCTGCAGAGCCGAGTAAAAACTTATCACTGACCCAGCGGAGGCCCGCCGCGGGGCGAGAGTAGGGACTCTTCTTGTCATTAATTTGCCTTCCGGCTCATTTGCGGGAGCCTCCAGACCACGAGGGCAGGCGAGCCCGGTGCGGAGCCCCCCCCCCCCTTTCCCGCTGCTGGAGCTCGTTTGCTCGCGACCGCTCCAGTGCTCCAGCGTCCCACAGCAGCGACGCAATACCACACACGGAAGCAAATTAAATGCCGGGGTGCGGTGATTTTGGCACGGCTCAGCCGGACCTGGCCAGCCGGTGAGGCCTGGGGGACCTGGGGGACCCGGGGGACCTGGAGGACCTCTGGCGCCGCTCTGCGCGGCGGCAGCAAATGGCCTGTGGCAGTCATTGATGCGGAGGAGCGGCGTCCTGACACGGGACAGAGGAGTGGGGGCGAGTGAGGGAAAAAAAGCGCTCGTTTCATTACGACTTAGAGAGTTAATGAAATGTCTCGCAGAGAGAGCCGAATACTGGCAAGTGTCGCTCCCGTCCCTCGCAGCCCACACTGCCAAGCGGGACGTCGGCCGGAGGGGCGAGAGAAAGCGAGGGGGGAGGGGG